ACCACACTCTGAGAGCCACGGATTTTAAAATAATGTACTCCTGCCATGGTCAACTTTCACTGTGAGCTGTTTTTATTTAATAATTGGTAGATGCATCATATATTGATCCCCTGTTTTCCTCTCTTTTAAGATATTGATCATTTCTAAATTCCTTTGTAATCTGAAAGGAGGCAGGAATAATTAAGACTCAAAAAAAGCAGATTTTCTCTTTCTTCAGAATCCAAATTATTGTCATCTTACTTCATTTATCACTGTGTCTCAAATTCCTCATCTGTGAAATGGGGACAATAAGAGGGTTCAATAAGAGAAAATAAATAAAAGCCCCTGGAACAGTACCAGGTTATGTTAGCAACTAGATAAATGTCATCTATTATTCCTACTGAATTATCCCCACTCATTTTCCATTTATTATTGAGGAAAACTCATTCATGTTTGCTACATGTTATACATCACTGACTTATATACAAAATCCTTATCCATTCCTGGTGAAATGTTCTGGAGCTCCAATGGGTTCAATAAACTGGGGAGCAAAGGGAGGTTATAATGTCAAAGAGCCAGGTTCTAATCCTACTTCTGCCACTAAATTGCTACATGACTCTGGGCAAGTCATTTAATGGAGTCTCAATCTCCACTTCTGAAAAAGCTTACCTTGGATATGAAGCTCAAACGAGATAATGCAAGAGGAATTTTTTTTAAGTACTACAGTATTCCTGTCATGAGGAAGATACCTCTATCTGGGAACAGTTTATAAGATATCAACTAAAGAGATAAGTAGCCACGGTCTCTTACATTCTTAAATAACAGCACAATGATATGAATCACCACATAAGCTATTTGCTGAATATTCTCCAATATCACCAAGTCATAACTATTTTTAAAATATTATATGCAGGAACATATAATATTTCAAATATTCCTGCAAAGTGAAAGAAAGAGAAAAGTGGATACAAAAGTAATCTCAGGGATTTTTGAGTAACAGCTGCTAAAATCCTCACTTCTTGGTTTTAGCATAATTTTTATTTTGATGCAGAACCCTTCTATTGGTCCTAGGCTTTTGTTTAGCATAAACACAAAGTATATATACACACACGTGTATGAATAACGGTGACCAACTGGTGAGTTTCATTACTAGTTTCTAATACTCTAAGTTGAATCCAATGTTCTTATAAAATTGCATACTACAGTTCACAAGCTTTAAATCTTAATTTACTGAAAAGATATATGGGGGTTATAACATTGTTTTTGTACATTTCAATTAAATTACCAAACAAAAAGTGAGCCACATATTTTTGTTATCAATGCTTAATAACATGGAAAGATATAATGTATCTCTCTGATGACATTCTTTACAGAATGTCTCCTAATGAAATATAGGAAATAAAGTAGTAAAACTCATCTTTTGTAAGGAATAAACTCCTAAAAAGCCATGTATAAGCATTTTCAAATAAGATGCCATTAACACAGCAGCAATACTCTCCATTATAGAGAAATCCAGTTATGAAGTCTCTTATAAAGTTTATCTTAACGACACTCTCCTAATTTAACTAATGTGTAAGTTTCCATTTTCATTTATTTAGCTTTCTCAATATAGGAGATATATATGTCCCACAGGACACTACAGACTTCAAAATATCCAAATGCAATTTAAAGTATGTGAATGCTGTTGATTTTTTAAAAAGCCATATAGAAGTAATTTTTTATCAACTATAATTGTTAAAATTAAAATTTTAAGAAACTAGTTTTAAAATATAAGTAATGTGAAACAAGGGACAGCAAAGACAGAACACCATTCTGTAGATGGGTTTCTAATACTCGAGGTTAAAATCAAAAGATAGATAAAATGTGAGCTTATCATCATAATATCAACTACTTTTAATATACTATTTCACTGTGTTCCCAGAAACCATACTAGATCTAATTCCATAGGCCTAATACATGCACATCCTTGCAGGTGTGGCTTTTCAGTAATATGGGGGAAAGTAAAATGCTACTGATCTTAAAGACTAACTTACATGCAATAGGAAATAGGTGAATTCAGGTTAGAGGCCTTATGAAGGTTGTGCTCAAAGTTTTCAGTTAGTCTCACTGTGGACCATATTACATTAGGAAACACTCTAACATGGGTCACTTATAGTTGTTTATGGTTCCATTTACTGCTGATGAACTCAGTCCCAGGAGATGGCTTTTTCAGCCATCTAGAAAGTTATGTCAACTTATTAGAAGTTTACAGATATAAAATCTTCAGCTGATACAAGTGTATCTCACTGGTTTACAAAACTATGAGTAGAAAGAAGAGTCTTGAGGCCTGAATTAGAAAATTGCTAAATAACATCACTTTGCAGAGTCCATGGTACACAGGAGCCCCTCGAATATTTCTGTTAAATAAACAAATGGACAAAAGTATGCTTCCAATTACTACAACTATTTGAGAGGAAACTATATGAAAAACTGTATGAAAAAAATACTTACAATGGTATTCTCATTCTTTAAATGAGATACTTGTAAAGCACTTGGAAGTGCCTGGCCCATAGGAAGCTCTGTATGTATTTGTCATTACTCTTGTCCTAGAATCTTAGTTTGGTTCACAACAATCTTTGCAGCTGCAACGTATAAGCCATGACCACCACTGATAAAAGGAACTCAGATAGTGCACACCACTAGTGAGGCTGCAGTTGCATTACTTTCATATGTGGAAGAAAGAATATCTAGGATAACCACTATTGTTTTATAATGAAGATTAATTCAGGAAGCTTAACATTCAAGGTAAATTCAGCCTTATAATTTATCCTACCAACAAACTGATCCCTTATAAGCCAATGTGTCTTCTATAAATTGTATTTATATAATTCAGAACTCCATAAAGAACTACTGATAATATTCATGTTCACTTGTATCTAAGAAATTCAATTAAAAAGAAAACATCAAAATCCCAATTGATAATTGACCTGCAAAAGTTTTCCTTCACACTGAAGTAAACTGTAATACAGGAGACTGCTAAAACATGTTTGGGATTTACTCTCTTACACTTTGATTGCTGACCACAACAGAGATGAAGACTGAGGTAGTTTGGAAATTCTGTGAGGATTAAATCAGACTATATTCTTCATATTCTCTAAGGAAGTAAGCTTTAGGCTGTGCGAAGACCCTCAACTTCCAGGGGCCAAGAACAACAACTGCTGCAATGAAAGAGCAGAGTAGTTAGGGTTAAGGAGGTGGCTGCCTTCTACAACGAAACTAGCTTGAATATCTATTTGTTGGCATTATTAAAAGTCAACTCTATTTCTTTGACTTAGGCAGTGGAGCGTTTGATAAGATACAGAGATTTTTAAAATAAGATGTCATTTTAAATTAAACACACCAGGGATCCTCTCCATTACAAGGGAATCCAGTTATGAAGGCTCTGATAAAGATTACCCAAATAATGATCCCATAATTTATAAAATCACGATTCAAAATGTATTATGGTATAATCGGGAAAGAGTCTAATTTGTATTGCACATAAGCGATAAGATATACCACAAATGCTAAATAATATAAAGTAACTTAAAACTGATATAATCATAACTGCATTAAGGGGTTTGGCTAAGATGTAACCATGTTGTTTAACTGAAGTGATCAACAAAAGCAAAATCAAAAGCTTCGTACACATTTCAGGGGATGTTCATAGTAATGAACCATTTAAATAAAACTGTGGGGAACAAGCAACAGAGATGAGTTGTAGCTGTAATTATAAGATGCTTTTACTTCTCACTGCAAACAACTGATTAACTGCTAAGAAGTAACAGAAGTGTTTTTTTAATTATATGTAGATTTTTTTTTTTTTGCAGTAACAAACTAAATCAATTACTGTCCAAAAAGGAATGGTTGCAGTAGAGTAGTAGGTATAGGGGAAATTTTAAATGCATTTAATCAGTAGAGGCAGGTAAATTAGATTCCTACACAATAAAATAGTTAAAGAAGCTTTATCTTAATTTTAATTACTCAAATAAAATCTACACTAGGATTTCATTTCTTCCTTTGTAGTTAGTTCTGCATCGTTTCACACAGTTTTAGTATTTTCAACAAGGAAATCCCTAGTTTACTGAAACAGTTCTCTAATTCAAAAACCAAGCCAAAGTATATAACTTCTGAAGTAGTGGGGGAAAAGTTCCCTCTTTTGAATAAAAATGAAACAAAATCTCTAAATGTAAACAAAAAGACAAAAGTATTAAACTAATTTAAAATGCCTTTAGAAATATGAATGGAAAATTATCTTTTATAAAAATATTTTACAGAAGAGAATTAAAGGGGAAAGCATACAGATTCTCCTTTTTGAAGGTTTTGTTTTAAAACACTATTTCTGAGTAAGACAGAAATAATTCCAAAAAATTCTTTTTATTTTCACTTTAACTAGGTTGGCAGAATTATTAGAAATACTGAAGGACAGCAGATAAGGAAAAAAAAAAAAAGTGGAGAATCTCTTCCCCCCCCCAACAAGTAAAGTACTAGTCACAAAACAGAAATATTATTTATGTCATTTTCTTCCATTTCATTAGTGTTTAAAATTGTGGGTAGTCACTGACACAATGAAATGATTAAGACATATTAAAACTGTAACTTCATACTATCCCAAGTGATACAGTTTCTTATAATATTAACTTTAAAACTCATACAAAATAATCATAGGTAAAATGTATTATACTGCTGTACATAGTACAGGATATGTTTATAGCATAAGTGGGTCACTACATAGCAATAATCAGATCCTTCTAACAAATGAGTCAGAGAAAAAAATATATATGTATGTATTATTATAGCAATAATTAGATCATCCCAAGAACTGATTTGGAGAAAAAAAATAAATTTTACGTATGTATATAAAAAATATATCTTTGTGTATTTTTTATGCATATAAAACTGATTTATAATTTGGATTGAAGCAATCTGACAGTTTTAAAAGTTATTAAATGGAAACCTTAATTATATCTTCAATTTAGGCATTACTAGAATATATGTGTTACCTCAACAATATCCGAGTTGGTTCTGCTTTCATGAGGTTCATTATACTCTGTATACTTGAGAAGAACTTTGTCCATGTCAGTGCTGGCATACTGAAACAGTTTGTTAGAGCTGTTGAAAATGATGAGTGCTATTTCACAGTCACAGAGCACACTAAGTTCATAGGCTTTCTTCATTAGTCCAAACTTTCTCTTTGTAAAAGTAACCTAGACAATCAAAGGAAAAAAAGGTGTATTTTTAGTAAAAGCATTAGTAGTACTTGAATATAGGCTATCTAAAGATACTGAGTCAGATTCCAAAGTTGAAAAAGGTTCCTAGCCTCATGTTCCACACGAGCCTCTTTACTCCCCCCATCTGCCACAAGACTATAGGCCTACATTTAACTTATAACTCCTGATAAAGCACTCTCCTGAGGAAGTTTTCCTTTATCCCTGGCTGCCAATCTGCTGCAGAAGGCAAAGAACCACAGTTGACCACTGGCCCCTTATCATCCAGTTTAAAATTCACAGTCTAGGGTCAACAAATTCCCCAATGTCCTCAAATTCTTCTTTGACTATTTCTTCATTTCCAACTGAAACCTGTCACCTGAAGTCCTCTCAAATAGAGACCAGTTTTTGTCGGTTTGTTTTAAATATTACATCCACTATGGTCAAGAGCCTGAAAGATAAGTAAGTCCTTTTTGCTTTCTATTCTATCTTACAAGTTAATTTTTCTTCCCCTTCAAAAGCCCCAGGTATTTTGAAGGTCACACCATGAAATTTATACCACCCAATAATTCTCCTTGTGATGGGCACCAAGTGACCCCATCATGTACTGATAACTCTCACCTGGTACTTCTCTTTCTATCCCTACTCTTATCTCTGGTGACTTCAGTATCTGAGTAAAAAAAAAAAAAAATCATTGCAAAAACCTCCCCCAACCTCCAAATGATCCACTTCCACCACATGTCAAGCACCCACTCCTACTGTCACACCTTTAACTCTGCCATCACCAATAATCACATCACCTCCAAAATCTCAATTTCATGTATTCCATTTTGCCTACTATCTAGCTCTATTTCGTATTATCTCTCCAGAAATTTTTTAACCTTTATCCAGTCCTCCAATCCATTTACCTCACCACTTTGTTACTGTCTCTTCTCATGTCCTTTCTTCCCTCACTGAAGTGCATATGCCCCTTCAAATGACTATGCTTGTATCCTTTGGATAACCAAGTGATATTTTTGAAACATAAATCAAATTGTTTAAGAAGTTTAGAGCTTTTTACTGCACTGAAAGTAATATCCAAACTCATTAAGTAAACAAAATAAATTCTCTGGCCTCAAACTCCCTGTCTGAAGTTATTTCCCATCACTCTCCTTTACATCCATGAAGGCTCACTGATGTGTTTGTGTGTGTACTTATGTGCATGTGTGTGTCTTCCTTAACCACCAGCTCCTTTCTTCTTTAGGAACTTTGCTATTTTCCCTCCTTGTGGAACACTCTTCACACTATATGTGCCTACTGGTTCCTTTCCTCACCTTGTGAAAATAGATCTCTTATCATTATTTAATCTTTTAAAATATCCTCACAATATAAATACACAAACAGATAATTTTATATAAATGCATATATATGTAAATAGTATTTTATGGTTGCCTCCCTACTTTCCCCTGCACCAACATAAACCTCTTTACCAGTGTTTTCGACTCAGTATTTTTCATTCCCACACTTTTGCACAATATCATATAACCATATTCACATATACATGTATACATACATAAGGGATTTGGCAGCATTGGACAAAACAGGGACTCTATCAACAATACTCTTTATTTTACTCATTCACCCACACCTTGTGGATATGCCTCTAAGTCAAATGGTATACACTAAGGTATTTTTCATATAAATGTTACAACTGCTTTGCTAGTATGACAGATGTAAAATAAAAATCTCATTTAATATATACTTCCTAACTAGTAGTGATTAGATATCTTTTTTTTATATTTGTTGTCATTTGGGATTTGCTTTCTCTATACTTCCCATCTTTTGACCATTTTCATACTCTGTGATTTTTCTACTTATGTAAGTAAAAGCTCCTTAGACAGATATATTAACTATGTTTTACAAATACTTTCTCAAATTTCCCACTTACATGTTAACTTTGTTCACATATTTGTCATTAAAAAGTTTTAAACTTCTATTACTGATTTCAATACTGTTTCTCAGAATCCTGGCATGGTATCACACCATTTTAAGAATATAATGAATATAAGAATGCCATTATTAAAACTATTTAATAGTAGTTTTATTATTACTATTGATAAATGAAATTTTTGAAATCATTTATGTCTTGAGATGCACTTAGATGTACTTTCTGCACTTAAAATTCTGAATTTAGCAAAGGTTTAGTCAGAAATGTTTTTCCATCACTTCTAGTACTAAGAAGAGGAAGAAAATGACAATCACCAAAGCATTTCTTCCAAGAATAATTCTTACTCTACTCAAAGGCTTTCAAATTAAGTGAGCTATGAACAAGACAGTATTAAAATTGAGACAAGTAATGCTGCTTCAGTATATCCATTAAGCATGACTGGAGAAAATTCTTTAAAACAAAAAATAGGGGTGCCTGGATGTCTCAGTCAGTTAAGCATCAGCCTTTCGCTTAGGTCATGATCCCAGGGTCATGGGATTGAGCCCTACATCAGGCTCCCTGCTCAGCCAGGAGTCTGCTTCTCCCATTCCCCCTCCCCCTGCTCATGCTCTCTCAGATAAATAAAATCTTAAAAAAAAAAAAAAAAAAAAAAAGATAGTTCACTATCAGTAAAAAGAGTATGCCAGTCCCTGCTGTCCTTTCCAAAAATACTATTCAAAAATATTTCTTCTAAGTTATCAGTAAGAAGGCGTTCAAGATGAAGGAAGGAGTTAGTGGAGGAAGAGACTCAATTTATAACAATATCCTCTCTATTCCTCCAATTTACCATAGGTCTAAAAGAGCTGCTTCAGTAGTTGGAAAAATGTGTACAAGAACACACTTCTATTTCAATGATGACACCAAAGACATTACACTGAAAACTAGAATATTAATATTTCACTTTCAACTTTCATAAATGAAATCTTTCTCATTTTATCTATAGCACTTAGTCTATTTTTAAACACTCTGGTTTACTGCTAGCAACTTATAGGAGATTAATAATATAAAATTAACTTTATATTCTTATAAACTGTTTTGTCATCCCCTTATTTTGCAATAACTTCAAATTTACAGAAAATTTTCAAAAAACACAACATTTTTGATATATCTTCAACCAAACTCCCCACCTATTAACATTTTACCAGGTTTGCCTTGCCTAAATAAAACACACACACAATTTTTTTTTCTGAATCCTTTGGACTAAGGAAGAGGTTGCAATGTCCTTTTGCCCCTAAATATTTTCTTAAAAACAAGGACAAACAAAATTATCAAAATCAGAAAACAAGGATATAGCACTATTATCTAATCTACAAACATTATTCAAATTTCTCAATTATCCCACTAATTTCCTTTTTTTCCCCTAGTACAGGATCCAATCCAGAATCAGATGTTGCTTTCTGAAAACTGCATCCTCTTTTTTTTAAATTTTATTTTATTATGTTATGTTAATCACCATACATTACATCATTAGTTTTTGATGTAGTGTTCCATGATTCATTGCGTATGGCGAGGGAAGCAAGGGCAAAAATGAACTATTGGGACTTCATCAAGATAAAAAGCTTTTGCACAGCAAAGGAAACAGTCAACAAAACCAAAAGACAACCGACAGAATGGGAGAAGATATTTGCAAATGACATGTCAGATAAAGGGCTAGTATCCAAAAGCTATAAAGAACTTATCAAACTCAACACCCAAAGAACAAATAATGCAATCAAGAAATGGGCAGAAGACATGAACAGACATTTTTCCAAAGAAGACATCCAAATGGCAACAGACACATGAAAAAGTGCTCAACATCGCTCGGCATCAGGGAAATCCAAATCAAAACCTCAATGAGATACCACCTCACACCAGTCAGAATGGCTAAAATTAACAAGTCAGGAAACGACAGATGTTGGTGAGGATGTGGAGAAAGGGGAACCCTTCTACACTGTTGGTGGGAATGCAAGCTGGTGCAGCCACTCTGGAAAACAGTATGGAGGTTCCTCAAAAAGTGGAAAATAGAGCTACCATATGATCCAGCAATTGCACTACTGGGTATTTACCCCAAAGATACAACTGTAGTGATCCGAAGGGGCACGTGCACCCCAATGTTTATAGCAGCAATGTCCACAATAGGCAAACTATGGAAAGAGCCAAGATGTCCATCAACAGATAAATGGATAAAGATGTAGTGTATATACACAATGGAATATTATGCAGCCATCAAAAAACCCCGAAATCTTGCCATTTGCAATGACGTGGATGGAACTAGAGCGTATTATGCTAAGTGAAATAAGTCAATCAGAGAAAGACATATATCATATGATCTCACCGATATGAGGAATTCTTAATCTCAGGAAACAAAGTGAGGGTTGCTGGAGTGGTGAAGAGAAATTAAGGAGTCGATCCCATTTACAATTGCACCCAAAACTATAAGATACCTAGGAATAAATCTAACCAAAGAGGCAAAGGATCCGTACTCAGAAAACTATGAAATACTCATGAAACAAACTGAGGAAGACACAAAGAAATGGAAAAATGTTCCACACTCATGGATTGGAAGAACAAATATTGTGAAGATGTCAATGCTACCTAGAGCAATCTACACATTCAATGCAATACCTATCAAAATACCATCCACTTTTTCCAAAGAAATGGAACAAATAATCCTAAAATTTGTATGGAACCAGAAAAGACCCCGAATAGCCAGAGGATTGTTGAAAAAGAAAAGCAAAGCTGGCAGTATCACAATTCCGGACTTCAAGCTCTATTACAAAGCTGTCATTATCAAGACAGTATGGTACTGGCACAAAAACAGACACACAGATCAATGGAACAGAATAGAGAGCCCAGAAATCGACCCTCAACTCTATGGTCAAGTAATCTTTGACAAAGCAGGAAAGAATGTCCAATGGAAAAAAAGACAGTCTCTTCAACAAATGGTGTTGGGAAAACTGGACAGCCACATGCAGAAGAATGAAACTGGACCATTTCCTTACACCACACACAAAAATAGACTCCAAGTGGTTGAAAGACCTCAATGTGAGACAGG